AGAATCAATGGTAGAGAGAGAGGAGATGATGTCTGAATATATAGAGAATTTACGACCGTTAGGTTATGACCGTTCGGATATAAACGTTAAGTAAGGTTGGTAGGTAAGGCTATTAGGTAGCACATGTTCGAATATGACCGTTAGGTAAGGTTGGTAGGTAGCACATGTTCGGGTATGACCGTTAGGTAAGGTTGGTAGGTAGCACATGTTCGGATATGACCGTTAGGTAAGGTTGGTAGGTAGCACATGTTCGAATATGACCGTTAGGTAAGGTTTGTAGGTAGAACATGTTTGAATATAAATGCAAATCCTCCATTTACAATCAATTGTATACTTGTCTGAAGCGTCCTCCCATTTCTAAAACAAACACATCCATCATGAGTTCCTCAGATTACACAACATCTGGAGGAGAACAAGAGATAGAAGAGTTAAATCTGTTTAACTATCATCGTTTGACTTTAATCGGGCGGAGGCTTGAGGAAGCTTCACGCTCACGTCGTCGTTCAACAAATCGCACCTACATTGATCGTGAAAGAGTCTCAGGTCATGACCGTCTTATGCAGGATTACTTCAATCCAAATCCAACATACGATGCCCGCATATTCAAAAGGCGTTTTTGTATGCAACCACGACTATTCAATCGCATAATGGGTGAAGTTGTGAGGTATGATCCCTCTTTTGCACGAAGGAGTGATGTCGTTGGTCACCTAGGCCTATCGCTGGAGCAAAAGCTTACTAGTTGATAAACCGTTAATTGCACATGTTTTTACCCCTATTCTTGAGCCGTTTGAGATGTTGATTCTCGTGTTTTAAGCCGATTTCATGCTAGGTTGTGTGTTTATGTCATATTTTAGGGCATGCGTTGGCATCGAGGCGAAGTAACGAGTTTCGAGTCGAAAGGAGCACGTTTGAGTTGAAGTGTGCTGGAGGAGAAAAATACCCGACCATGAGCAGAAATACCTAGCCGGGTATTAATCGGAGCAGACCGGGGAAAACCTCTTTTGGGCGTTTGAGAAGGAGAAGGGGGCCCGCGCATTGAGGAAAAATCCCCAGTCGGGTATTCTTGACCTTGACGGTGTGTTTCAACGATCCCCGGTCTCCACCTAAAATACCCAACCGGGTATCAGACCGGGGATCGCGATTGACAGCTTCTTAAGGGAAAAGAAGGGCAAAAGTGAAGGGTTCCGTGTTTTAGAGAGAAAAAGCGTATTGAGTGCCATAGATCGATCTCCATCACCATTGGAGCCCGACTTGAGCTTGGAGAAGAGCTAATTGAGTGCCAGAAGCAGAATCTCATCCTTCACAGTATGGTTTCCGCATCTGAGCTAGATTTCCCGTCTCTCTCTATGGAGTAACTTTCTCATTCACCTGGGTATGAAGAACCCTAGATTTGTATGTGAGGTCTGATTGTATGAACCCAAGTACAGGTTTAGTGATATGATTATATTCAATTGAGGTCTGATTTGTTGAATGGCATGAATCCTGATCAAATTCCTGTTGTTTCTGCTTTAACCTAGAAAGAGAATATCGGCCTAGGTTGATAGAGCACCCTTGATTGAAGGTAGTGAATTGACGACTTTAGTCGAGGAGTCAATTCACTATTTTGTACCAGATTTACTTCGGTAGTAGAGGTTTGGTTCGTTAGGGCCTCAATCTGTTTACTCCGATGGAGGTTAGTCGCCCGCTGGGGACTCAGATTGAGAGGGTTTGGAGACCTTTAGTCGAGACAGCAGACTGTTAAAGAACCTCCCGCAGTATAACTATCATTGAAATTGAACTTGGTAAATTACAATCCGGCTTAACTGAAGTCTAGGGGAACCATATTCGGATGACTACATGCATATGGGTAAGAGCAACGCGGATTCCCTGGTATGATTGGATCAATTGATTACATGCACTGGAAGTGGAGGAAATGTCCTACTTCTTGGACTGGGCAGTACCTGGGGCACAACCGTAAACCAACAATCATTCTCGAGGCGGTGGCTTCGTACAACACCTGGATATGGCATGTTTTCTTCGGCCCGCCTGGGTCGAATAACGTCATCAATGTTCTGGGGATGTCTCTAGTATTTGACGCTGTCCTCAACGGATCCACCCCCACGAGTACGATTTGAGGTAAACGGTCATACCTATGATCAATGTTATTATTTGGCTGATGGTATTTATCCTTCGTGGTCAACTTTAGTGAAAACATTCAACAATCCAAGCTCAAACAAAGAAGCCTTGTTTGCTCGATGTCAAGAAGCACATCGGAAAGACGTAGAGCGGGCCTTTGGAATACTTCAAGCTAGATGGGCAATCGTTCGTGGCCCTGCAAGATTTTGGGATGTTGCCACAATTAATGATATAATGTTGACCTGCATTATATTGCACAACATGATAATCGAGGATGACAGGTTGATTCTGACGATGAGATGGAAGATCATCTTGATTATGAGGTCCACGACCAACAAGTAACTAATGTCGATAGAGATATTCCAACCCTAACTGAGTACTTAGTTAGGAATAATAGGCTTCGTGCTGCACCAACACACCATGGGCTTTGTCGGGACTTGGTCGAACATATTTGGAACTTGCATGGAAATAATTAGTCATGGTTGTTGCTTGGTATCGATGCTGGAATGCTTTGTAATTCAATTAAAGTTGTAGTTGGTGACAATTTACTTTGTAATTGAGAACGCATTTTCATTTCAATAATATGATTTCCGTTCTTAGTTCGGTCTAATTTTAGTTTACACACAACTTAAAGATGATAAACATAAATTTTAAATAAAATGAATTCAATTTAAGTCATCTTAGAAAAAAAGCCTAAATACACAAATATTAAACACAAACTAAATACAAACTAAAAAGTCTAAATACAAACATTAATTCCCCTTTCCCTAATTAATTACATTCAATTCTCTTAATCAATTTCCTTAAATAACTAATAACAATAAAAAAAAGGCTGTTGGGCGGCACAACCGCCGCGGGTGGGCGGGGCGGGTGCGGCGCCCTGCCCACCCGCGGCGCTTGTGCCGCCCAACAGACAGCTCTCCTCCATAAATGCTAAAATTGGCAAACCCTCTCCCATTTATAGCGATCCAATTGCCGATCGCCTCCATAATTGCCGATTTTCGCCATTTATTTCTCTGCGTTGGAACTCCATGATCGCTATTAATGCCGACAACCCCATAAATGCAGGCTGCATTGGACTCAGCCTAAAGCAAAAGAAGAAACAAAGTCAGAATCATTAGGCATAGTATGATAAAGGGTTAATACCTTAGTTTGGCCCGAACTATACACAAAATTTCTACTTTGGCCCGTGGTTTTCGAAATTGCTCTTCTGACCCCAACTATGTATCATACTTCCTAACTTGACCCGAAGCCGAATTTGGCCGTCAAATTGGACGGTCAACTTCATTGACCGTTATTCAATGGCCAGCTCACTTGCCACGTCAACAAATACGAAATAAAAAATTTTATATTTTGATTTTCTGTATTCATTTCCCTTTCTCATAATAATAATAATAATAATAATAATAATAATAATAATAAAGAAAGAAAATAATTAAAAACAACAATTTTTCAAGATCTGGGAATATAGAATGCTCTTCTTCCTTCGTCCCACACCATGAAACCTATCACTTCGGAGACGTCCAGCTGCCAGAGGGTGATGGTTTCCGAAATGTTGTTGTGTGTTGTTTCTGGGTACATGTATTTTTCTTGTTTTGGCTGTTTGGTGAGCTAATGAAGGTTTTTGGGCGATGAATAAATAGAAGACGATGAGTGGATCTACAGCAAAATTTGCTTGAAGTTGGGTGTTTAGAGGACTGGCCGCCTAGCTCGATTGAGCCTTTTGGTAAGATCGATGATCAAATGGTTTTCTTGAAAGGGTTGGCGGAGTTGGGGTTTTCTTGTAGCAAAGCATCCATGGAGATTTGCGAAAACGAAAGAAAGCAGGGACTTTCTGTTCAAGGGTAAACTGAACCACCAACAGCGATGATGATCGATGGACTCTCAAACCGCCATCAATCGCCGCCGCCTCCTTTGCCTCCAAATTTTCCGATGCCAGCTCCCCTACCAGTCGAACAAAATATTCATAATCTCTCTCTCTCAAAATAGCGAAAAGCTCATAATCTCGCTCTCTCTAGACCGGTTTGCGCTTGATCTAGATTCCCAGATCTAGAAAAATTGTTGTTTTGAATTATTTTCTTTGTTTATTATTATTATTATGAGAAAGGAAAATGAATACAGAAAATCAAAAAATAATTTTTTTTATTCGGTATTTGTTGATGTGGCAAGTGAGCTGGCCATTGACTAACGATCAATGAAGTTGACCGTCCAATTTGACGGTCAAATCCGGCTTCGGGCCAAGTTTGAAAATATGGTACATAGTTCGGGCCAGAAGAGCAATTTTGAAAACCACATGCCAAAGTAGAAAGTTTGTGTATAGTTCGAGCCAAACTAAGGTATTAACCCTATGATAAATGAAGAGCAAAGATATTTCATGTTTCCGAATGGAGAATGCAGGAATATAAGAAGACTTTTAGCACACAGAGGAATTATTACTGTTACACTATTTTTCATCTAGCGCAATGAGAAATATGAGCCTTCCTAGGCCCATCCAAAAAAGCACACTCGGTTCGGTTCTAGGACTCTATCCTCTGACCGCCATTCCCCAAATCTCCACCCCCATGCATCGTCCAAAATCTCGCCAGCCTCTCGATGGTACAAACAATCACCTCTGCAACCTACTTGAGCACGCGACCCATTTCAGCACGTAAGGATCCATGGAGCCACCCACCTCCTCGTCACTATCCTTCCTTTCCCAATACCTAACCCCCATTCATGCTTTGCTTTTCTTCGAACCCATAATAGTACTCGCAAATTTCCTCTCTCTGTGTGGCTTCTTGAGATAGGGGAATTGAGAAAGAAGATTTTTGTGTGTTTGATTGTTTTTTGTGGTTTCTCTTTCTTTTAAGCTCCTTTGATGGGTTCACTGAAAATTCTTAAAGAAGATGGGTTCAGAGCAGAACGACAAAGCAAGCTTCCCACCAGTGAAGCCGAAGATACGACTGTTGTTTTTTGGTTCGGCGTCCAACATGAACATCTGCTCCAAGTGGTACGGGGAAATATGGGTCTACAAGGAACACTCGGTGTCAGCCAAGGCCGTGATGGGAAGACCCTCAGCTTAAAATCAATGAAGCCCATGTCGGAAGCTGAATCAATTGTCGGCGACATCAAATCTGCAGCGCCAGCGGCAGAGCAGGTGATTGTGCTTGAGAAATCATCGGCAGCGGCGATGGGGTCATCATTGTTCGATGCGGCGGCAACCAAGGTGGTCAAGGCGGCGAACAGGTGCTTAACCTACAACAGGAGGGTCTGTTTGACGAGGTTCAAGTGAAAGTGTGACAGCTCTTTCTGCGGGTCTCATATGTACCCAGAGAACCACGATTACCAGGAAGCTGGGAAGAATACAATTATTGGATGCAATCCGGTCCTCAAGGATGAAATGGAATGATGGGTTCTTAGTTCTCACATATTTTGTACTTCTTTTGAAAAAAAATTCTTAGAGCTTTTCTTATAAACTCTTTTGAGTTTGCTTCTCTCTTCTTCAAAGTTAGTAATCAGCAGTAGAGGGTCGTTTGATGAGGGGGTTGTGTCTCAAAAGCTTCTCTTCACCTCTTTTTAGTTGTTACCTTTCATTCTGCCTTTCATGATATCCTTTGGTTCTGCGACAGGTGTTGCTGATAAGCAATTTCGGAATTGATAACATCGACATAGTGAACGTGGATACCACGTAAACATCATGTCATTTTACTTTTCACACTCGTTAGATTTATTATGGTATTAGAGCAGGGAACAAGATTTTGATCGTTCCCCTGTCTCACTATGGCGAAGAGCGAAGAGGAGCCCAGCGCCGGCAAGCCTGCCATTCCCCAGGATGATGTTATCCCGCTCGATTCTCCTCTCTATCTCCATGCCTCGGAATACCCCGCTTGATTGTTTGGCAGCAACTTGATAAATGATTCGAATTACGAGGAGTGGGTAACCGACATTACGGAGACCCTGATTGCTAAAAATAAATTAGCTTTTGTTGATGGCTCTGACACGCCAAAACACAACACTAAACTGCGACCAAATGTAATCGCAGTCCGGGAATGCAGTAAAGTGGCAAGTTCTAAATATCAACCCGGGGTCTAGATCTACTGCCTACTCCATGATTATCTATTATCTAGCAAACTAAGTCGATTGATTTTGGTTTTAACTTAAAGTAGAAAGAAAGCAAGAATTGGTTCGGTTTTCTGAAGCAAGAAAGAGTCACTCGGGAATGAGTCCCTCTAGCTCCTTAGTTAGGTCTCAGTTGTAATTATCCTGGGTTGATTTACTGTTGATTAAACTGCGGAAGATCCGACAGTAGCTTGGAATCTCTTAAGCTGACCAAGCCCTCTCAGTCTAACTACCCGGCAGACGACTAGTCTTCACCGGGATAGAAAGCTGAAGCAATAAGCACAGAACTCCACTACTGGAATTGGATTCCAGTACAAAGCAGTAAACTGGCTAACTCTCGTATAACCAATCCACTACTAATGAATGATGAAGCTCTAACAACCTGATCAGATTCTATCTATCTCAGGTTGCAGCAGAAATCAAGAAAAGCTGATCAGACTTCAATTAATTCAATGAATCATGCATCATTCGATTATAATCAAACAGTATAACAATCCCAAGTCATTACAATCAAGATCCCTAACACATGGAACTAGGGTTCTTCATACCCAAGTGAGAGAAAGTACTACTCCATAGAGAGAGAGGGGAAAACAGAATACAAAGTAGTCATACTCATAACAATGGGAAGAATCTGCTCTGGGATGATGATTTTCACTCCTATGATGATCTCCAAGCTTGATTTGATGAAACCCAGCTCCAAAACCACTTTTAGGATGAGTTCTTTGCACTTTCTCTCTCTAGGGCTCTGTTTTTGCTCCAAAAAGTCAATTTTCTCACTTCTGACTCGAAATTGGGTTAAAACCCAGAAAAACCCGATCACACAGGCAGGCCACACGGCCGTGTGGCTTACCCAGATGCCCGTGTGAGAGTCAAAACGCCGAGTTTCGATTAATTGGACTTCAGGCTACCTACACGACCAGGGACACACGGCCGTGTGGAGTCTCCAGTCTGCCCGTGTGAAGCCTCGCACAATCCCACACGGCCACATTGGTTCCTTACACGGCCGTGATGGTTTTATGAGTGCCCGTGTGGCTTCCTCAGCGACTCGCCACACGTCCGATCTTCGTCCAATCGACCCCGAACTCGCTCCCAAACCTTCATTCACGTACTAGGACCTGAAATATCACGAACAAGCACAACCTAGCGTGAAATCGGCCTAAAACACGAGAATCAACATCTCAAACGGCTCAAGAATAAGGGTAAAAACATGTGCAATTAACGGTTTATCAGGCTCCCTCCAACATACTCAAGCTGCTTCTGCCGCTCGACGTGGTGCATGGGATCAGTGTGATGCTACTGTCAAAGGTTGGTTGAAGACCGTCATGACGAAGGAAGCACGAAACATTGTTCGGATGGCTACCACGGCGTAGGCCATCTGGTCTTTCCTCCAACGTCGATTTAGTAAGTGCTCTGCGCAGCGCTCCTATGAGCTGCGACGCAAGCTCAACATGTTTCGTCAGGAGAAACAATTTGTATCGACCTTCTACACTGGTCTGCGTGCTATTTGGGGCGAGATGCACTCAATAGGGGGAGTTCCTCGCTTCACTTGTAGTGGCTGTACCTGTGGTGGTTGTATTTGTAATTGGCTTCAGACTCGTCAAGCTACGCAAGACACCGAACATCTATTCTAGTTCTTCATGGGCCTCGACGATACCTATTCAGTCGTTCGTTCATAGATTTTGAGCATCAAACCTGTCTCTACACTCGCCGATGCTTACCAGATGGCTGCGGCCGAAGAACAACATCGTCATATCACTATTCAGCGTCAACCTATTGTTGAAACGACTGCCTTTCAGATTCAAGTTGGTCGTGATCAACGCAAGGACCGTGACCGTGTGCGTTGCACTAACTGCAACAAGCTTGGCCATACGCGTGAGCAGTGCTACCGCTTAATTGGATATCCACCAGGTCATCCGCGCGCTTAACCAACCGAAGATCTCCCCAGCTCAGCTCCTTGTCATCCCAAGGCAGCTCATGTTGAGCCTGATGCTGCGTCCCTCATTCCCGACTTATCAGCCGCCCAGTTTCAGCAGCTGTGAGACTTCCTGACCTTCACCTCCATCTCCACCAAATCCTCGTCGACTCCCACAGCGCACATGGTCGGTAAATGTTCTGAACTTGACATGTGGTTGCTTGACTCCGGGTGTAACAAACATATTGTTCGTAATATTAACTGGTTGGATTCTTTGAATATGAGTTTTGGGCAGTCACGGGTTTGAATTCCTAACGGCTCAAGCATTCCCGTTCGAGGGATGGGATCGGTTTCCTTCACCAGTTACATTAGACTTACAAAAGTTCTGCACGTTCCGGCTTTTTAGTGCAATCTTTTGTCCCTAAGCAGGTTGGCGCATGATCATAACGTCACAGTGACATTCTTGCATGACTTTTGTACCCTTCAGGTCTTACCATCCAGGACGCTAATTGGAGTGGGTCGTCTTAAGGATGGGATCTACTACTTGCCTCGTTTTGGAGACTCTGGTGTTTCTTAGGCTTTCCAAGTGTCACGGTTAGGAGTCTCTTCGAGCTTATGGCACACATGGCTTGGTCATCCCTCGATGGACCAGCATACTAGCTTGCGCAAGTTTATGGATTGCACTGTTTCCTGTCATAATTGTTCACATTGTGATTCTTGTTTGAACACTAAACAGACTCGCCTTCCTTTCTCTCTTAGCTCGATTAAGACTCGTGGTTGTTTTGATATGCTTCACATGGATATTTGAGGTCCCTATAAGACACTTGTTTTTTTATGGCTCTTGTTATTTTCTGACTATTGTTGATGGCTATAGTCATTCTACCTGGGTTTATATAATGCGGTTCAAGTCTGATGTTGAGCGTTATATCAAGTTGCATTGTGAGTTAGCTCGCACACAGTATGGCCGGGTTGTTTGTCGTATACAGGCAGAAAATGATACGGAGTTTCAGACTCTTACTCTCTGTGCATTCTACGAGGAGCATGGCATGGTTCTACAGACCCCGTGCACTGATACTCCATAGCAAAATGGTGTTGTTGAACACAAACATCGTCACCTACTCGAGACTGAGCGGGCGTTGATGTTTCATGCAGGCCTCCATGTTCGCTTTCGGGGTGAATGTGTTCTCACAACCACTTATTTGATCAACCGCTTGCCCTCTCCTATCCTCTCGGGTAAGACCCCCTTTGCGATCTTCCTAGGACGTCCACCAACTTATTCTCGTCTCCAGAATTTTGGGTGTCTTGTTTATGCTAAGGACACTCATCACGGCCTTGATAAGTTCGCTGAAAGGGGGAGAGTTGGCATTTTCATCGGTTATCTAGACACTCAAAAGGGCTACCGTGTGTATGACTTTCAATCTAAGAAGATTATTGTGTCTCGGGATGTTCATTTCGTGGAACATATTTTCCCGTTTTTGCTCAAGTCAGCTGGCACCACTACCTCCTCATTGCCTCGAATGACTCGCGATATGCATGGTTCGCCGCCAGCCATGCACGACGTAGATGATCCGAGCAATGTCTTCTTGCATAGGGATGATGATCCTGTTGATTCTATGGGTAATCTGGTTCCCGATGATGACCCCGCGGAGGATGCACTCAATGCATCACCCTATTCAGTCACCAAGGAGGAAACAGACTCTTCTCTGCTGGGCAACTCTACTTCTTTAGCTAGCACCGACAGGTCACCATCACCTAGTTCGGCTACTTTGGAGGATCCAACACTTGCTCCGGTCAACGAGCCAGATGCACAGCCCACTCAAATGATGGAACTCGAGAATGCTCACCCTTCAGCAGTGGCGGAGCTAGGAAATTGGCCAAGGGGGTGTCTTTATCATATCATAAAAAATCACCTATACAATAGAAAAGTCAACTTTAAATTAAACAAAAAGTCAACAACGCAATACTCTAAATTCACACAATTACATTAAAATAGTTTCACGTACACCGGTTACAACGTCAAACAAATAAGTTCAGTACATACAAATCAAGACTTCCATTCATCAAATATTACAAATTAGAACTCAGAAGTACCTTGGAATTGATTTTGTGAAACAAACAAGTGAACTTCAATTGGTACTTCTTCACTTTTAACTTTGTTTAAACAAAAGACAAGAAATTTCTCTGTTGTAGAGCTAAAAAAAATGAGCGAATTTAAACAAAAGACAACAATTTATTACTATAAATAAAGACGAAAGTGCATTACATAACAAAACTCACTCGATCGAAATGATAAGAAATTCTTCCTGCAACTGAATGGTCATTGGTTCGAATTTGTATATACCCCTACTCGGAAATTTTTTCTCCAAACCCAAGGGGGG